TGCGTATCAAAAAATCTGCAGTCACACCCGTTACAACAGTTGCAATGAGATGGACATTAGTATTACAGACTGACTGAATATGTCCAATACCACCACATTTAAGGCACTTAGAATTACGGGATTTACATGAATTAAAAGAGTGGAACTTGTCACAGAACAAACATTGACCAAACTTGTGCCCATCTTCACAAACTGCATCGCAACTCCTCAATGAGTTATCTGCATAACTTTGAGTATGGACCGGGTTGGGGTGACGTAATGTAGTGGAATGTTTCATATCCTCATGAATCATTTAAAGAGATCTTCCTGCATTACCGCATTCAAAATTTGTATGCTGAACATAGTCCAGCAGTAGTTCCTTGAGAGCTGTATAAGGAAGCGAAATGGGTTTTTCCGGCATAGCCAAAGTTTTTAATAAGATATATGCTTCATTTTCGATGAATGTGAGGAAATGTGCTAAGATATTAACATCCTCATAATCTTCCTTCGTCATAGCCCAAATTTCGAATCTTTCAAAGTAACCCTAAAAAGCTTCATAAGTTGAATGAATATCTAACTTTTCCATCGCAGGCTCCATCGCAGGCTCCATCGCGACGCCAATATAATGTTTCAAACTATTTGAATGTTATTATGAACTAGGAATCCCAGAAATAACGTAATAGGATCAAGAAGTACTAGATAGGCACAAACGAATGTACTGTATTTTGAATTCGAAATCAGGCATTCAACAAGTACAAAGAAATCATCAGTTCATTCAAACACCACAGTTTATTAAATTGAGGTTCTGGATTCCTACTATTCTACCACAATACTCTTCCTTTGACCACCAATCTTATCCTCTCGCTCTCATACAATTGTAGCGATCGAAATCCATAGATTCTTTCTGAATGCAGAAAATGATTCAAGAAAACCAAGACTACTTTGGCTAAGCCAAGCACCATATTCTTCTTTATACATCAAGAATCTTCTTTGAACTACTCACAAAGATCATACCAAAACACAGATTTCGTAAATAATATTTGCGGTACTATAATTGGTTGGTCATCTCGATTCCCCCCAAAGAGAGATGAACTTGGACATTGTTCATTGCAGGCCGACTATAAGAAAGCTTTGTACAGTTGTCTTGGTCATGTATTGTTCGCTTTGAGCTGCAACATTTCGATAGCCGCCTAGATATCTGTCGGAACGTTGCTGACACATTGAGAGTTTCATAAGGGGTGTGGAAGACAGCAACTGTAAGTATTTGATTAGATATTAGTCACGAAATATTCTATATAACGAGGAATAGCTGCCATTCGTATATGGTGTCCTTCGTGAGAAGTGCTGTTTACCCTAGAATAGCACTCATGATAGTTCAATAAAAGTATTAAAAATGACGTCTAAGTTTTTATTGAATCTGTTTACAATCCATACATGTTCACACCTTCAAACTTAGTGTATGGTTGCATTTTATTTCCCTGAAAAGATAGGAGTTTTGTGAAACTTGCAGAGATGGATAAAAGGTTGGGTTAAACAATTCAGGAACTGATCTCAATTATTATATTTCTACGAAAATGAGGTTTCTTATCTAACAATACAGTCCTGACAGTGTTACCAATTTTCAAAGCAGTGCCGTCGTATTTGTTATGTCGAATCAGAAACTTTGTTTATCAAGGGATGCGCGTATTTAGGATTTGTGATAAAGCGCAAATTTAGGTTTTATAGTGGAAGTGGGAGGTGGCGAGTGTCTTTCGGATTGTTGTGATGATGAAACCCTTATAAGTACAAGAACCATCTGACGAGCTTTAATTCAGGGCTTTTCATTTGTTTGCCGGTCTTGATAGTTGTAGTTGTTTCTTTCATCTAATTTGGGAACTATATGTTGTCCCAGTATCGCGGAACTGAAATAAAAATAAGGGAAAAACGGGTTCCCAAACTGAAGATGTATATGGGGGTTCAACTGATGTATTGAGTCTTGAAGGAATATGCATTCCATGAAATATTCCTAGTAATCTAACGTATTAAGTAGATATTCTTGCACTACTTTCAGTGCTATTTCAAAAGAAAAAAACTGTTGTTTACAATCAAGTAAATTTTCAGTTTTTCGTCCGTAACGTATAAGGACTATCTTTTCATTTCAAATGAGTTAATTACAGTCAAATTACAGGAAGTAATGACGCATTTGCTAGCCTTTGTATCTGTATTGTTTGCACTTGCTTTGACGTTTTCTTCTCTGCGTAAAGGTTATAAGCTGAAAAGCCAGGGTTTCTGGTTCAAAAAGGCTCGTCTCTCGCTGGCCATGTGAAAAGACGAGGTGCTGAACAATACGAGGCTGAAATTAGAAGCTGGAGAAAAATGAATCTCAAATTTATGAATTTTGAGTGATAACGCTTCAAAATCACTTTTAGAGCAGCACAGTGCCATTAAATTAGTCTTTGGGTCTACTTGACAAGCGATCGTAGGTAAGTGTACAAATGGACCCTTTCATGCTGGATGTATTCGCCGTGACAGGAACGTTGCTGATCCAATCTGTATACTATAAGTAACTTAATTCTGAAAACTCCATGTAACTAAAAGTTGGCCAAACCCGCAAGTGTAAAGCATGATCGACCTTATTTGTTGGATACTGTTTCCTTTACTGCTATTGATACCATATCTCATGAGAGTGAAATGTACGACTTAGTTGTCGCTTGAAATGCAGGGAACAAGAGCTGCTGCATAGTTTAGTTTATTGTAGCCCCAGATATGGGGTAATTGATACATTGCCAGTCACTCAACACTTGATTTATTATCAGTCGATGTTTGATCTTAGGGGACTCGTGCACCTGCCGTAGATTAACGCAATGCATGTCCTACTCATCGAGCATCTTTCCCTAATTTTCTCTTCAGCTGAAAGGTGGTTTTTTGACAAACTAGGTTGTTGCTGATACTAGAACCCTCTAGTCAGTACGTATAACCTATAGAAACACGGATTTTGGAAATTTTCCAACTAAGTTCGTTTGACCAACACATGAGTATTTCATACTGACAGACAGTCCCTGTTTAAGAACAGGCAATGAGCTGTCGGAAAAGGTCCAGAGAACCCCAACTGAGTTGATCCCCACAATCGCAAGGTTAGATGTAGGCATAGAATGTGTAAGGCAATATAACTCTCGGGATGGAGTTCCATAATAGCCGGTAACCAGAGCAGGTCCGCATATTATTCGTGTCCTCGATATCCAAGGCCCTACTTACACCATTACTTCGGAATTAGGGTTCCCCAAATTCCTTAGACGGAATTTCCGTTTCTGTTAATCCGGCTCATGCTTCTGACGTCCACTTTCACCTCATTTTTACAGAAACCCATGTCACATAAAAGCAGGAAATGAAACGTCTCTAGAAAAGGTTACATACTCGCAGACATGATAACTTCTGGTTAAGGAGAACAGGATCGTCCCTACTGTAGGATTTGAAGACAGTCGTAGGTTCATTGTGACTGTGCATCGTCAGTTGTACAACACATCGATGAGTGCAGTTCTATTTCGTACTTGGGAGGTCTGACTCTTCTAAATCGAGGGTTCTTGGTAGCCATCTCCGAGGGTTTCCCAATACGGGTTGGAACAAATGTTTATAGCACTAAAGTCAATTAGCTTATTAGGTGGCTTGGTTATGGTTTACAAATTCCATTTCAATGGCTTTCACATCGCTCATTATTTCCCGACACGGATAGTAGGAAAAGCCAAAAGCTGGCTGCTTTATGGAGTGAATCCGTGAAACACGATAGGTATATAAAACTGGTGTCTGTCATGCATCATGGCGTCATTATTCAAGCCCTAAAAATCATGCTACTCAGCGGCTCGAGAAATTATCAAATACGGCTCAAAATAGAAGCTCATTCTGATTCTAATGTTTCCTACGATCGAAGTTTCCACCGTTTTTATTTTTAGATGAATAGTATCTTGTACTGACAACTATACTAATTTATTAAATGTACGACTTTTCCTTTTTCATAATTTAATCAATTTTTTTAGTATTCTTACCGAAATTTGTCTTACAAATGAATAAGAGTCTCGATAATGTTAGATATTAATGATATATCCACCAGACTGTTGCATCAAAGCGCCTATGTCTCATAGTGAATAGGTCAATGGAATAATAATCTCTATTTTGTAAATTAGTCGGTTTTTATTCAGGGTTCTTAGAGTTCACATACATTTCAATTTAATGCGACATTTGATTACACCTGAAGTTGAATAAATACCTGCCTGCTCATTGATAATTCATTTGTTATCGTTGCAGCACTCTTTTGCTTAAATACTATTATCAATGATTATATAATTTCCGAATATCGTGGCCAAAAAATGGTGTTAAACGAGGTAAATAAGCCATTCACCATGGCTTTCACGTACGTTAACAGAGGTGGTTGGCTTATGTTATGCTCACTATTCGCGTAGTATAGTTTACTGTAGATTGGGAAAAAATCAAATCAATCCTGAGTTTAGACTAATCAGTTTCATTCATCAATGTGATCATTGGGTTTCGTACTCGTATGTAATAAAATGAAGTTTTCTTGACTTATGTCTTCTTTTTGCCCACTGACTTTTAGTATATTTTTTCATGTTTTTGAGAAGTGTAGTGTGTAAAATTGATATACACACAAAATAATCTTCATCTTTCATTCGGTTGAGATAGGTTTTTAATTGATTGCTAACTGTCATTATATCATGTCTTAAAATGGGTTTTCGGATCTTTATTTTTAGGTTGCTGATTGTGTGGTATCAGTTAGTTCACGGAAGTGTCATTCCTTGTGTATATATGTTTGGTCTCAACGTATTACGTGTAACTTTCAAGGATAATCTTTTCCTACATAAAAATTCGGTGACAATTTAAAGCCACTTTTTCAACTTTACAGTCAGAAATACTGGGTTTTAACTATTTAATAGTCTATCTGTCAGTGAGTTTTACGCCTGTATATGTTACATTTAATGTTGCGTCATAAATTTACGTTTAATTAAAATGTTTTCTGTTTGTTTTATAGGTAAATGGAAAATCCTGGAGCCGGTACTCCAGTAAAAATATGCCCATATGGTGAAGAATTCGGAATAACCACTCCATCTGGGGGTTTGATTTTTAATCCATTCCATAAAGAATTTCTCAGTCGTGTTGAACAAGTGAACTTCAGCCCAGGAATATTTGCCTACAATCCCAGTCCGATTAGCAAAAGTGGTTCAAGGAAAACAACTCCCAACAGAATCAAGACACCTTTTATCTTATCTCCTGACATTCAGGGAGAATTGTTCCCTGCTGATATAGACGAAAATCCAATACTACAATTGAAACTTCAAGAGAAACTGGATACTCAGGTATGTTAGTTTATTAAAGGTATAAGTTTACTTAGTAGTATTCACTTGTTTATTATTTTGCAAGGACTTTAACCATGTATCATATATCTAAAATAACTGGCCGATTGTTTCTTAACATCATGAATTATCACGTCAGTAAGTTGTCATGAAAGTTTTACTCTTGGACTGTGTTTCACTAAAAACGATGGACCTAGCATCGAAGCTTTATTTGGCAGTCCTGCATGGGATTAAGAAAAAAGCGAAGTAGTGGCTCAGTTTCTAGGCTGCCTAAATTTCAACCATTTATTCTCAGATTCTAATCTTAACTACTTACTTGCGCCTGGAAAACCTAGTAGTCACACTAGCCCTCACACTTAAGGTGTGATTCGAAGCCGAGTACACGAATTTGTACCTGATGACTGACTTAAAACAACTTTACTAGTGTTATAAGGGGAAAATAATGGTAGAAGTAAGAATTCCAGGAGTACTGGCGAGGACACAAATTGAGCTATTAATATGAACCAAATTGAAACTACCTCTTTAATACTGAAATTAATCACTTCAGAAATCGTTAAGTCATGAACTGTTTTTTAGTTGATAATGAATCATGAAGTGTTCGCTCTGAAACCACATCCCGACCGTTACTGCTAACTTGACGTGGTGGTCGGGCTTGCCTACCCTGATGAACTAGTCTGGATATACTGGCTGGAACAATCGTTCCTCAAGGTCCTACCACGCCAGGTAAATCGGCTGAAGAACGGTAAGACCAAAAGCAACAAACACAAGGCCCAAGGGAGAACAGAGGTGTGACGACAGAAAGGTGTTTCATTCAGACAATCTGCTTAACAGCTATGCTGCCTTCCTACTAAGGAAGAGTGGGGTTAGAAAAGTTTACCCTAGAAATGCACACCTCACCTTATCCCATGGATTATATATTTATTTATTTGAACACATAAATATTGGTACAAGGAGGCACCAAATACATATGCGCCACACAAATCTCATTTGATATGTGTAAGGGCTTTGATACTATCCGGGTGCCAAAACCGAAGCAGGAGGTTTTCTTAGGGGGCCACGCCCGGAGCCGTCAACCTAAAGGTCTGATACACAAGGCAGTTGAGCAACGTAAGGAGATGCAGTCCCATGGTAACCGGTGACCAGCGATTGGTTCATATGCCATTTGTTCCTTCAGGATACTGGAGCCCATGTACACCATTGGTTTGGAATCAGGGTTTTCCAATTCCCATAGTTGAACTCTCCATGTCCACCAACCCGGTTAAAGCGCCGGATATTCACTTTTCGTCCTCTCAATTTCGTGAAAAACATCCTCGCCACGAGAAGGCAATGAGTAGGACTTCCCTGGCAGTGGTTGTAGGCACTTGGCCATTTGAGAGCATTTGGAGAGGGAGAGCGGACTTTCGCCACTCTCGGCCGTACCAGGGCATATTCCACAAATATCCGTCTCTGGCGGTAAGGTCTCAACATGTGCGGAGCTAACATAAAAGTTACCCACAAAAAGATCGCGTGTGACCGGCCTCAAGCAGTTGTCACTTGAGAACTGCGGCCACACTCTCAGGTCACTAAGGTCAACTCTAACCCAATTTCCTTTTCATGTACTTCTAGAAGAACCCTTTCACGGTGTGGGCAACCGGGAATCGATTACCGCCCTCATACCCTTAACAGCACTCAAGACCAAAATTTCTGAAACCACATAGAGTGTACTCTGTTACCTAAGTTAAGATCGCTAGTTGTGGGTTTATATATTTTTAATCAGTTTATACCTAGTATTCTATGTTTTATTTTGTGTTTTATGTATTGAGCAGCCTAGTTTACCTACTGAAATTCTAACACAATACACTTATATTTTTCACCAGTCAAATTCTCAGTGTCTTCATTGTAGTCAGTAAATTATTTAAAACTGTTGTACCATAAAAATGTGTCAGATATGTTATCGTATTTAGCTTCAATTGTCGATCAAGTGACTTGAAAATATAAGTAAAATGTTTTGATAACTGAGGTTGTAAAGTAACACTTCCTTTAGCCACACGTTCAATGATTCAGTTGTTACTTAATAGAAAACTGGGTCTATGATTACACATTTAATAGGCAAGCTTCAGTACACTTCATTGTTTACTTGTGTAATAAAATTGGAAAGTATTCTTTTATTGGAGTACTGCTTCTGCACTAAAGTAATTACAAGTGGTCTAAAAATGATAAAGATTACTATTCAGTTTAGTAGGATTTTACTTCGTATTATAACATTACAAACTAGATTCCTGTCCATATAATACTTGTTTTCCGTTCTGTCTCCAGTTCATGTTGTAATTCTAAAAATATTTTGCATATAATATCTTATACTAAAAAAAAGACTTTCGGAAGCCTGTTCTTCAACTACGAGAAGATAATCATTATGCGGATTTTTGTTGACCTTAAATGCGTACAACTATATGCATAATGTGTCACGAAAGCATTTGTTATTTCTACGGACTATAAAATTATCTTCTGATTTGTTGTGTTATTTTATAAAGTAGGATTTGCGTTTATACGGTTGTCGCCTCGCTAATTTGCATGCTATTCTACAGCATTAAACCTAATTTTGTTTGTGTTTATTCAAAATTGCCACAAGGCTCATCTTAGCTATATAAGCTATATGGCTATATAGAGCTGAAGGTCTCATATGAGGCTGGAGGTTCGCCATTGTTATTGTGAATGGTGCGGCATTGCTTTGGCAAGTTTTGCTGACTGTTGATGCAAAAAAATGGTTTGCTGGTTAACCGATTTCATTCATACTGGTGGTTGCTTTTCAGTGTTCTCAAGAGCCATTGTCATTGGGTCATTGCAAGGCATGTCACCATTGCTATCATTAATGAGTTTGACTGTTGTGTAAGCGGAATAGGTCAACTTTGGCCTGTTCTTGCTGTGCATAATTGATTCACACGATCACTGATCGAAAAAATCATACATGTGATGTGAATGTGTATATGAATGGTCCACCAGGATGCTTGGTACTCGTGTGGTTGCGCCACATGATTGAGCTGTACTATTCAGATTGTAGCGTTAAAGCCTGTGCGGTGTCCGGTTCCCCTTCTAAACGGGGTTGAGCTGTACTGTTTGGGTTTTTACGTGAAAGTTCGGATGGTGTCTGGTTCTCCTGAAAACCACTGTAAAATTACCCTGGCCCACAAGGGTATATTATATTATATAACTCATCTTATTTGATTTAAAATGAGTTTCCTTCATTAAAAACTCATAATTACATCCAAACTATTGTAACTGACCACCTTGCACCTACTTTCCATACTTGTGTAATTGACCAGTTTTGACAATCATACATACATCACTAAACAAATCTAATTTCCAACTTGCTATGTTATGATTGTACTTTGGTCACATGTGTCTCTGCCTCCACCACCACTACCTATCAACTTAATGATATGAATGCTACATAGTTTTGTCCATTAACTTCTAAATATTATAATGAAAGTAATATTTTTCACTATTGTTCTTTTCTTTCCACAAACTTTCAGTGTGATGATGAGATTCAGAATAGAATTCATAGCTTTTTTAAAAATCATCTTATTGCACCCAGCCCTGACACAGTTGTATTTGACTCACCAACCAAATGTAAGTCCTATATAAAAATACTTACTGTTATCTAAAATTATGAAATTCATTATTTATTACCGTGATAAATATGATTGCCGACATCTAAAACTCATTTTTATACATAGGTAAATTTCGCTTGAATAAATTTCGTTGAAAAGCAATGAAATATAAATTATATGGGTGTTTTAGACTATTTTCAGGAAGTTAAACGCTCAGATATTATTTTAGTAGGTAGACTAGTAGATATATTGACTAAAGCTAAAAGACATTTAGGTGGAACTTTCAGCTTCTCAACTCGGTGAACAAGCTGTAAAAACAGCCAGACTATTGGAACGATGTGTAGAATAATTAGAGTGATAGTTCAACTGATCTATAGCTACTTCGAAATTACCGCTTTCTTACCAACAGCCTAAATAAAGTATCAACATAAACCCTTTCTTCGACTCAATCAGGTTTTAAAAAAAGTCATAATTACCTTGAGACTAAGGAAGACCAGTTACTCGTGTTGAATTCGCTCTTGAGGTCGTTGATTATGGCAGTCTAGTTTAAACAGTTAGATTATCTGATGTATTATCCAATCTAGCACCTAAAGATTATCCCGTCAAACTGATCTTCCCAATTTAAAAAGAAAGAATAGAAGTTGTTTTTTTTATAACCGCAAATGAATCAGCCTGACTAATATCATATAAAAATGCGACAGACAGCCATTTCACGTCAGTTACCCAACCAGTAATTAAAAAAATATAATGGTTCCCACGGTCTTGAGGAGTAATTTACACAATAGTAGGTTTAATCACCAAAATCCCTATCTGTCGTTTAGTAGTTCTAGCTTCACTAAAGAGTTTCCGGTTCACTAATAAAGTGCATTACTCGTAGGGGGATTAAGTCATTCAGTTTGTGATATACACAGTTTTAGATATGGAAAGTAAAGATTCTATATTTTAGTAAAGTATTCTGTCATGATAATACGCCTGATGTTTAACTTCTGAAATGAATACTAGTCATTAATAAAAAAAACAGTTACATACCATACCAAGGTGTGTCAAATTCTCATTTAATTATGTAGTATGTATTTTCTTCTATATGATTTGTGTTTATCTCCATTCTATTTTATCTTGACTTTAAAAACCGTTTTAAGATTTCACTTAAGCATTAATTTTTATTTCCTCATTTTTTCTTCTTAAATGGTTTCTAGTCCACTCCACTTGTCTCCCAAGGACTTCATCTCTTCTACCTACAGGTAAATAGAAATAAACATAATTTCTACTATTATTCTACTTTACCTATTGTCTCACAATACATATATGTATAACATATTATTAGACCTTTATATTTCCATACGTGAAACACTTAATACTCTTTACTAAAAATCAAATGTTGCTCAGTGCGGATGTGTGTGTGTGATCATATGTGAATGATAATGTTTACCCGAAAAGTTTCTTTTCATTGATGATGATTTCATAATCTTACAGGCGTTGATAGCTTTTAGTGTGATTTATTCAATACATTAGGAAGATATTAATTATACTCAATTCTGTAAGGAGTTAAACAATCAAAATGTTTATGACTGGTGTTTATGAATTAAACTTATTCATAGTAATATCGTATAGATTATCGAGTTTCAGATGTAGGTACGTTCACTCTTTGTCTAGCTCATAAATCCTGAACTTTTAACACCTTTAGTTTTTTTTACACTTGATCTTTCCTACTACTATTAATTATGTTACCACTTCTACTCTGGGATTTATCTTGATATTTTTATCTCACGGTGCTAATGTTGTGGGACAAATTGAGCTGACGCATATATTTGTTAGTTTCTATGTTGGATGTAACTAGCTAACTGAGTTCTATGATGTAATAGAAAGAAATAATCACTACAATGCATTCGGTCGTTTTGATAAAGTTGAATTTAGCAGTGATAAATCTTCTAACTGAATGCTTAAGTAGGTTTCCTAAGCTCTTCTAATAACCTCAGGCTAACTCTGCACGACAACTTGAACACGAAAGAAAAGGCGCGAAACATGAAAAGAACACTTTACTCCAAGCTCAGTTTATGTACAGAAAATCGAAGGTATTTATAGCATTTCAGGTGACCTCGGACTTCTGGAAAGTTCTGAAACCCTACTAAACATAGTAGCAGGATAGGTAATCAATCAGCTGTCAAAACAGCCTAAAATTATCTACAGAATTATCATTATAAACAAAGCCTGCTTCGGTTTGGGCACCCGGGCAGTATCACAGCCCACACACAAATGATGAACTGTTTATGTCTATGGAAACTACTTTTGTCGCTTTGAAAAACAATCAATTGATTCAAATTATGATCACTTCAATTATTGTCATTATTAATACTAATATTATTATTACTACTATTATTGTCATTATTGTTATTATTATCATTATTATTATTATTTTCCACATTATTCACCTTCTTTTATACTTATACAGCGGCTCGTCTTTGGTGGAATTCCGACTGTATCTAAACGTTCTCGAGTCACTGTCCGGTTGAAAATTGTATGTTACCACCGAATACGAGGACTGAAGCAGATTTTCTGAAACCACGTGCATCATTCAAACTGGCTGCCTTCAACGTTCGCACATTTATGCAGGTCGGACAACAGATAGGGCTGGCTATGTCTTTGGAAAGTCTTAATATCGACATGTGTTGTCTATCCGAGACCCGTATTCAAGACTCTGGCGAAGTACTACAAATTCGATCTCCATCTGTCGCTTCGAAAAGCTTGTTTTACGTGCGCTTATCCGGGGACCCTGTGGCATCTTCGTCTGGTTTTGCTGGCGTTGGTGTCGCACTAAGCGCTAGAGCTGAGGCAGCACTAGTCGATTGGATCCCCATTAACAGTCGGTTATGTGCTGTTAGATTAGAAAGTTCCATCAAAGTGAGAAGAAATCGGCGTGAGAAACGATGTCTTTTCGTCATCTCCGCCTATGCCCCGACAGATTGCAGCCCGGATGCAATCAAGGATGAGTTTTACCACCAGTTATCAGTTCTTCTCCAGAAAGTGCGTTCGACAGATATTGTAGTACTAGCCGGAGACTTGAATGCTCAGGTCGGGCGTCTAGGCACAGAAGAGAGTCGTTTAGGTGGTCGATGGGGACTCGTTGGTCGCAGGTCAGATAACGGGGACCGTCTACTGCAACTTTGCGCAGACCACAACCTGTTTCTGGCTAGCACTAACTTTCGGCACAGTCATCGCCGATGTGCCACCTGGCGTCCTCCCTCTGCATCTCAAGCCTGGACTCAGATTGATCACATCGCGATCAGCTACCTCTGGCGTGGTTGTGTACAAGACTGCCGCTCCTTTTGGAGTACCTATCTGGACTCTGACCATGCCTTGGTCTGCGCCAATCTTGCCTTACTTTTCAGTGGACAACGAAGTGAACGCCATCAACGGATTGATGTTAGCAAGCTGGTTGCAACTTCTGTTGCAAGTAAGTATCGAACCGAGCTAGCCTCTAGGCTAGCTACCACTCCACCGAAAAGTATAGATGAGCATTGGTTGCAATTGCATGACGCCATGAAAATGGCGGGAACAGTCAGTTGTGGGTTTGCGAAACGTCCCGCTTTTAAGCACTGGGTTTCTTCTGGTTCCTTACAACTCATTGAAGCCCGTCGGTCTACTCCGGGTAACCGTGAGTTTGACCATAAACGAAGGATGTTACGTAAGGAAATCGGGCAAAGCTTGCGTAAGGACCGAGAAGCCTGGTGGTCGATGCGTGCTAATGAGCTGGAAGCAGCAGCTGCATCTGGTAACTACCGGAAGCTCTTCCAACTCATCCGAGCCACTGGCAGCAAGAAGTCTGGTGTGAGTGAAACAATCTGCGAGGATGATGGGATGCCAATCACTAACATCCATCGACGTCTTGGACGATGGGCAGAATTTTTCGAAGGGCAGTTCAACTGGCCTGCTGCTCCGGTAACATCGGTCAGACTGTCCTGCCCTCCATTGCCGGTGACGACTGATCCACCAAATGAGGAGGAAGTCCGCAAGGAACTCCAACTCTTGAAGCGTTACAAATCACCTGGCCCAGATGACTTACCTCCGGCTCTTTTTAAAGATGGTGGTGACTTTTTGACTAAGGAATTGACGACGTTGTTTACAAAGGTTTGGGATCTAGAGAGTGTACCAACGTCATGGAATGAGTCGATAGTTGTCCCTATCTTTAAAAAGGGTTCACGTCGTTCTTGTAACAACTATCGGGGGATAAGTTTACTTCCGATTGCGTCCAAGCTATTGGCTTCCGTCATTCTTCGTAGGTTGTTCAAAACCCGAGAAAGATTGACTCACGAGGAGCAGGCTGGGTTTCGTTCTGGTCGAGGATGTATTGATCATATCTTCACCCTCCGCCAAATGTTAGAACACCGCCATACTTTTCAAAGGCCAACAATCGTAGTGTTTCTTGACATCAGGGCTGCCTTCGATTCGTTGGATAGGACTGTTCTCTGGGATTGTCTATTGAAGAAGGGTGTGCCTGAGAAGTTTATTAACATCCTAAAAGCCCTGTATAAAAACACCTCAGGCAGAGTGAGAGCATACAACCACCTCTCTCCATTGTTCCATTCGAGCAGTGGGGTTAGGCAGGGTTGCCCAATCTCACCATTCCTCTTCAACTTTGCCATCGATGACATTCTGGAAACAGCTCTGATGAATGTAAGTAATGGTGGTGTGGATCTGTTGCCTGGAGAAAGACTTCTCGACCTTGAGTATGCGGACGATATTGTCTTACTGTGCGATAATGCCCAAGGCATGCAATCCGCACTTAATCAGTTGGCAATCAATGTCCGTAGGTATGGTATGTGCTTTGCACCTTCGAAGTGCAAAGTACTTCTACAAGACTGGCAGGATTCTAATCCTGTACTCACCCTGGATGGTGAGCAGATAGACGTAGTTGAGAAGTTCGTGTATCTGGGTAGCTGCATAAGTGCTGGTGGGGGTGTGAGTGATGAGATCAATGCACGAATAGTGAAAGCCAGAGCGGCTTATGCCAATCTGGGCCACCTTTGGCGCCTTCGTGATGTTAGTCTGGCTGTAAAAGGCCGGATCTACAACGCGTCGGTGAGAGCAGTTTTGCTCTATGCTTGTGAAACCTGGCCTCTCCGAGTTGAGGACGTTAGACGACTCTCTGTGTTCGATCATCGCTGTCTCCGAAGGATTGCTGACATTCAGTGGCAACACCATGTCAGTAATGCAGAGGTTCGGCATCGTGTGTTCGGGCACAGAGATGATAACTCAATTGGTGTCACCATCTTGAAACACCGACTTCGGTGGCTTGGACATGTTCTCCGAATGTCGTCCCAGAGAATTCCACGTCGTGCATTATTTGCCGACTCTGGGACTGGTTGGAAGAAGCGGAGAGGTGGTCAGTGCATGACATGGTGTCGTGGCATGAAAGAAAGCTGCAAAGGACTGGCTTGTGTTGGTCCTTCACGACTCCCTGGTTGGGGTCCGAGAGATGGTGCAACACAGTGGCTAGAGACGTTATCAGATATGGCTCAGAATAGAAGCCAGTGGCGATCCTGCTGTAACCTTCTTTTACTTTCCTCATAAAAGTGGTTGTATCTTACTTAACTGAAAGATTTCTTCTGATTGTACCTCTTCGTCATTACTCTCTTTTTCTTTTGCGTTCCTTAGTTTTTTTTTCTTTTTTTCTTTCTACTTCTCTTCGAATTCCCATTGTTTTGTGTGGCGCATATATATTGGCGCTCTCTTGTACCAATATTTATGTGTTCAAATAAAATAAAATAAATATAAACAAAGATTTAGCATACTACAGTTAATGAAGTTAGTATCGATGGTTTTGAACTCGAGAGTTTTACTATTCATCCGATCGGTCATTGATGACTACACTTTGCTGCTTTTCAGATGTAGATTTTGATGGTCATGTTCAGAAAATCTAATACAAACTCTTCTCTCAGCTCTTCCTTATATACTTATCATTCCAAGCATATATATATATATATATATATATATATATATATATATATATATATATATATATATATATATATAAATTCATTACCACTGAAGAGTTCGATGCTAGAATGGAACAGTTGTCCGATGCTTCCTGATTTACAATGAATGTCTAACCACGATCAATCCGAAATTTCATCCATAAACAGATTCTCATTCTGTTGATTAAATTAATCACTTAACTGATTCAGTGTGTAACACCAGTGTAAAGAAAATTAAAAATATAATTTGAACACAGAACCTTTTTAATTCCAATAGAGTTCTCATCATTATAACTTGGTAATACTACATATTTAGAGGCGGCCAAACCAAAACATGGCATCAGTGCATGAAGTCACTAACTTCTAGTCTGAGCCATGTTGGTAGATCCAGACTACTTGGTTGGGGTTCGCGCGACTGTCGTAACCAATGGTTAGAGACTCGGAGTGACATTGCTTAGAATCTATCACAATGGCATAGGTGTATACACTCTCTGTCTTCCCTTAAACTAAGAGATTAAAATCGCTTCATATCTTTCTTTCTACGAACTAATTCTTTTTTCCTGTACTATGTTCTTATACGCAATCTTTCTTTTATATATTACCACCTCTGAATTAACTACTTTTATGAATCCAGTGTCCATCTTGTTGTGTTAATGAGGTATGGGAACTTGGACCGATGTATATATGTGCCTGGTCCTATTTTGTAGCTGACTGACTGACTGACATAGTTTGACATTTTAATGTAAAAATCGTTAACATTTAAGTGGTGTTAAGTAGATTAACATTATCATAAGACAGAAAGGATAATCAGTCAATTATTACTGTTGATTACATAAGAATGAAGATGCAGAATAAAACGTAAATGTACGTTTACATTTGAGAATCAGTTAGTTATTTTTTAATGATTACGTAAGAAAAAAAACATTAAATTTTAAGTATAGAAATAGCTGATCATATCAGAGTAACAATAAGTAAACAATTTCAGCGTAAGTTTGAATTCATTCATTTGTTAGAAATAATTACTTGTTAATAAAAACGAAATAGGCAAGTTTGTAATTAATTCATTATTTGCAAAGGCACAACAAATGATTATACAAATCTATTTTTGGAAGCAAAAGTCATATCTAACCGATTTAATTCTCATAGTTTTCATTATGTGTAGGAGGTGATATCTGCATACATAAGTGGAAGATATTTAATAGTTAACTTTGAATAGTACATTTGTATCAACTTGATACCTTGTAGGAAATTTTGTTTGCTCCCAAATACCCTGATACGGCCGAGAGTGGGGAAAGTCCGCTCTCCCTCTCCAAATGCTCTCAAATGGCCAAGTGCCTACAACCACTGCCAGGGAAGTCCTACTCATTGCCTTCTCGTGGCGGGGATGTTGTTCACGAAATTGAGAGGACAAAAAGTAAATGTCCAGTGCTTTAACCGGGTTGGTGGACATGAAGAGTTCAACTATGGGAGTTGGAAAACCCTGATTCCAAACCAATGGTGTACATGGGCTCCAGTATCCTGAAGGAACAAATGGCGTATGAACCAATCGTTGGTCACCGGCTGCCATGGGACTGCATCTCTTTACGTTGCTCCACTGCCTTGTGTATCAGACCCTTAGGTTGACGGCTTCGGGCGTGGCCCCCTAAGAAAACCGCCTGCTTAGTTTTTGACACCCGGACAGTAGACAGTATCAAAGCCCTTACACATATCAAATGAGATTTGTGTGGCGCATATGTATTTGGTGCCTCCTTGTACCAATATCTTTGTGTTAAAATAATAAATAAATGAGTTCTATTTAACTTAGGTTTCATGTTGGTCGGTACACTTTAGTAAGGTGTACCTGCGATCTTGAGGGAATTGATGCTCTTTGTTTTATTGAAATTTGCGTGACTTAGCATCGCAGTTTGAAATGTTTTGTTCGTTTAAGACTGCCGGTATGCTTTTCTGACAAGTTCCAAATGGTAAGAAACGTAGGCTCAGGGTTTCCTATCGGCTACCATCAACCACCTAAAATCTTAACATAGTGTACACTATGTGTTATCACACAGACTAGGAATTACGCTGTAACTTGATTGATATGATTCAATCAACTGTAAAAAGGTAGGTCATTGAAATTGGTTATTATTCAGTGATCAATCAATTCTAATAAAACTCGCAACAAGTTGTTTACATAGGATTTCCTCGCTAGCACTGATTGGATGGAAATGAGCCGATCAACATATTTTGATTTGAGTTTAATCAAAATACGTAGTAGTCAAGACTCTATCCTGCTAACAATGACCAACTGGTTTATGCTTCTATGTATTGCCTTTAATGATTCAATATCATGATATTATCAACTTTATGCTTTTCTCGTTTACTTAGCTACTCCTTTAGGTAAAAAGAAAAAGAATTCCTATCTTTTAGGAAATACTTCAAGTTGTATGTGCGAAGGTAAGTGGAAAGAGAGGTGTTGTATTGTTGTGTCTTTTTTTGTAGTTTCTTTACGGTCTAATAACATATTAGTTGTGTATTTTCGGATAACAAGAAACAGCAGAAGACGTGTGTAGGCTGCAGGTTTTTTTCATCATAGATGTTTTCGAAGCTATTGCTCGTGTATTGTGGAACGACCAAATGAGCTATGTTGTGGTTTTAATCATAAGGTACTAGTCAAAGGTGTTGAATCAGTTGACAAAATAGTGAATCTTCATCAATTGAATTAGTTGGGACATATGTTACGTATATCTAACCACCTCCTACCTCGGTGGACGATGTTTGTTGGTGTAAAATGTTTTAAAAAAAGCTATAGTCGGTCAAATAAACATGTGGAATCAGTTCATGAAGTGATCGCCTATTGGTCTGAGCTTTTTTTGTGAATACAGACTACCTCATTGGGGTTCGGAATATCAGTAGTTAAGGACGTTTGGAAAAATAGCTCAGAGTCGTTCATAATGGCGCAGATTCATTTACTCTTCATCTTACTCTAGACTTTGAGTGCCAATGTTTTTTTCATTCTAGTATTTGGTTACATTATCAACCATATTCTCAATATTTTTGAATTCATATAGATGTCATATTAATGTTGCCGTATGTCATTTTCTTCACTAAATAATCATTATTCAACTAACTATTCATTACAAAATGCATGAGAAAGAAACTTGCTCAAAAAGTTGTTTCTCACATTACCGAAACGTATCTTAGATCTTGTGTTCACTAGTTGTACTCACTATTAGAGATAGAATTTTTTTTCAAATTTTAAGGTAATAAAAACGATTCAGTAACAATGTAAAAGTTTACTAAATATGTTGTAGTAGGGTGTGAGAAGAAAACCAAATATTGCCAGATTCATGTGCAGCGTAATTAGACTATCGAAACTGTTGTAAGTTTTACTCTTATTCAGTTTATAAGAAAGCAGTGTACATAACCAAGTTTATTTATAGGTTATTAGTGTACAGCGTTGATTATTAAACACAAATATATTTTATCAGTCTTAGTCTAAGTAGTTGAACAGTACTTTTTAACCTTATACAGTGAATGTGACACTAAAATACATTACGATGCACACAGATTCTCTGGAATAATCCTTTTTTAATCGTAGAAATTAAAAGACAAGTTGATACTAAATAAACGGAATGTGGCTAGCAGTGGAATCCAGGACGCATGTTTCGTCCTATTTTGGACTCGTCAACTGAATGTATCTGCATCTCGACAACGAGATAATCCAAACCATTTCAAATTCATGTTTTTATCCAATGTTTCTTCATTTGTCATAAACTTCATTTAACAAAAACAATTAATTAAACTGATTTGTTCACCGGGTATTAAGTATGAACCATATTAAATGTGAAGGCTATCGATACTATTCGGTTGCTTAAACAGAAATAGGCGAAGTTGTATTAGAACCCTTAGTGGCCAAAAGTCGCACTCCTTAATCACTAATCCATTACTTCATTAGATAAATCTAATCGTTTGATTTATCAAATAAATTGTAATATTAACGTAAGACCTCATACAATATCGAATCGGTTCTAAGTGTTAAATCAATAAAATACTTTTTGATTAGTATATCTAGTTTCTATGATTGCTACTTGACAAGTGGTGTTACGTAATTTTAGCATCTTATATCTCGAATTATGTAGTAGTATGTTTTAATTATTTCACATTGATTCTGTTCTCTCACATATATTTCTTTTTTGATTTAGTTGCAGTACAAACATCAATCTCTATGCCTCCATCATTTGATTTTGAGTCAGTTATGCAAATTGCTTTTGAACAGAATCATTCAATGAAGAATCTATCCGTTGCGAAATCTTCAGTTATGTTGTCAATAACATCAAATGAAATGATCATCAATGATGATAAATCAAATTCACAACAAAAATCGGATCCATTCACAAATAGTATATCATTATCAGCTTGTGCAGTTGATCGTCCTATTCCTTGCAATTCAAATAGTAACTCTTTGTCAATACTTCATAAAAATTCTCGTCATTTACTTAGTCGACGTAGTCTCTTCTCTGATTCATCCGAAATAAATGAAGAACCTAGGTATATCTATGTAGTTTTCTCATGTCTTTTCTTTTTAAAATACACCTTTATAATGACCTGTCAATGCATACAAAATCCAGTGTAATTAAATGTTTTAACGTTCTACATCAGTTATCAGAATATCGAATATAGTTTTGTGTTACAGACTGGTTTGTGAAATGAAGGCGAAGATGAATGGCTTTTGTGGTATTTTGTTCTAAAATGATGACCTGGATCGTTAGATTGCGACATAAGTCCGATCTATCAACCCATACGAAGGATATCAATCAATCACATGGTTAAATTAAACTAATTTTAATCATATCTAGCATTCCCTGATCATAATACTTGACTCGACTGTTTCTAAATTAGGACAAGAATCAAGATGGAATAATATATTTTCCAGTTACACACCTAATAAAATCCTTTAACAAACAATGGATTTTATATGGCATTGCTGTAAGAATCTTCTAGCATTTTGTTTATGCATTCACTTGTTCTGGTAGGTTGGAAATGAACTAATCAGGATATTTAGGTTTGAGCCTAATCAACACATGGAATAGTCAAAACTCTATCCTACTAACAAGAGTATTTAAATTTAGTTCCGAGGTGAAAATCGATCTTTATCTGTTGTTGTTTTATGCTGATCTCTTGCTTCAAGTCATATAATTCAAATCAGTTGGTGGGTTTTCCAGAATATAGAGATTGTTATATACTTTGTGCAGGTGAATCTGTTAGTTATACACAACGTCATATTTTATCGAAAGACAACATGAGCAATGTCAGTTTTTTATTGGAATTGTACATTGACCATTATAAATCACGAATTTGAACAAATTGTCAGGAGAAATTCAAACAAATTACCTGTTGTGACATGTGGTGTCTATGAGTTGATACTGATACATAGTCTCCTTATCTACGGAGCCCAACTGGCTTTGTAGTGAAAAGATTGAGAGAGATGTTTATTTACTCGTAAGCCATTCACGATATGCGTCTCATTCCGTAGAAATGAGAACTACTTGGTTATTCACGGACATTTATCGTTTGGCCTATTTGTGATTTCTCTAGTGTATCACTTTTCTCTCTTGAAAACACGTCTAGTTCCTCGGATTCATCTAAAGGCCTTGGGATTGGATCACATCACCAATATTCTGATATTATAGACCTAAACTGTAAATCTTTTAAGTTCTTAAATTATCCTAACACCTCCTTATACTACTACTAATACTTCTGAATTGATTAATTATTTATTCATAGTCATTAGGATATTTCGTAATAGTATTCTTTAAATGGTGGAGAAGATTTGTAGCTCAGGTGGATGATTTTGATGGAGTTTTGCTCTCTGAGCTGGATGGTTTGGTCGTGGAGCTTTCATCGTTCTTCTGAACGACATCATCAGTTTATACTGATGATCATAACTTTACACTTTAACTAGTTTCCTTAAGGCTTAAATATACGAATATTCAAAATAGGTTTTTTATGATATATTTCTAACCAACTTTCTAACTTACGATTTAAAATTGTAGTTACACGGTCGTAGATGACAATGAATTGAATGAACAACAACGTACATTAACTTCATCTGACGATTTAAGTCGTCATAATCATCATGATAATTTAAACTTTTCATCTGTTGTTGCACAACCAGCATGTTCAAGCTATCTGTCATCAACAAAAATGGATTACGGATCTTCACATATAAAATTCAGTATTGATAAATTTTCTCCTAAAAATGAATCAAGTTCTTTATTGATTAAAGAAACTGCTGCGTTACAAATGTGTTTGCCTGCAAGTTGGGCTGATACTGTTGGCAATAGTGATAGTTCCGATGATGATAATTATTATAATGATGATAGTAATAATGATATTAAGAATAATGATGATAATTTAACAGATCAAGGTATGTTAGATCTAATTGTCTTTTTATTATTCCTTTTTGTTTAGACGCATATTTTCTTAGTATTATTGATTGCTTTTTGTTCATTTGAAAAAGTGACAATTTCGTTTAATTATCCTCCACATAGAGCAGTGCCTTAATGGTCAGGGCGCTCGGCTTTTGATGGTTCGAACCCGGTTCCGATTATTTCAGTCTAAACCATCGAATAGTATCATTAGACTTCACACTTAGAATGTGACTCAACGCTAATTACCCGAATGTGATGTATCTGTCTAATAAATTAAACATTTAGTCCATTCTCCTAATTCATATTTCATCATTTTAATTGTATTGTTACTATTATCAGTCTGATTGATAACTGCTTGACCGTATTCGTATTAAACTTATATATTTTTAATCATTAATCTATAATGGTGCACTGTTGATTTATATTATGGTGATGATTGGAAGAAAGTTAGGGGCGACCAAACCAAAACGTGGCATCAGTCTTGAAGTCACTAACTTCTGGTCTGAGCCATATTGGTAGATGAAGACTACTTGGTTGGAGTCCGCATGACTATCGTAACCAATGGTTGGAGACTCCGGGTGACATTGCTCAGAATCGATCAAACTGACATAGGTTTATACACTCGTTGTCTTCCCTTAAACAGTGAGATTAAATTTGCTTTATACCTTTCTTTCTACAAATTAATTCTTTCTTCCTATACTATATCCTTACATAAAATCTTTTTATATATATTACACCATTGAGTTAACTGCTTCTATGAATCCGGTGTTCATCTTGTTATGCTAATGAAGTGTAGCAACTTGGACTGATGCATATGTTTCTGGTCCTACATTGTAGATGACTGACAAGAGATCTTGAACTATATTTTCATAGATTTTGTAACAGCAAACCGATAGGTCTGTGAGTTTTTCAAGGTTATTCAAATGTGCTCATTATATTGTCCTGTTGGAATGTCTAGAAATATCTCTCGTCAAAATCTTCAGAAGCTTACAAAACCCCTGGAAACGATTTATCCAATCAACACTGAAAAAAAATTTCTCAGAAACATTTGGAAAAATAAAGGATTGTGTGACGTTTGTTTGGATAATTACCTATATTGTTAATATATTTAGTATTTTTTGGAAGTTTCTAGAAAACTAAGGTTATATGGGGCGATAAATAGAGATCATGACCCTGATTAAGTTCCAAACAATTGTGTAACTCAGCTAACTGAAACTTTCATAGATGAGTCGGCGGTGCCGGTCCTAATTTGACTTTTACACTCAGGAAGTAGTGAAATATGTTCCTAAACATAATCGAGTTTACCGATAATAGTTCTGATTGCTAGTGTACCGGATATTTGTGAAAGTTGGTGAACTTTTTGGTCAAAATCACAAACTTAACATTAATCAGGCAACCATTAAAAATCAGGAAGTCCTGGATACCTGTTTGTTTTAATATGGGATTCCTCAGTGGGAATGCACATCCACGATCATTCTCAGTATCAAATTAAGGCCAGTCTGTGGCATGAACTACAAAATCCAATGAACTCCACATACCTCTTATAGTAATAATAATCATATGCTTTCTAGTGACTACTTGCAGGAGAATAATTCCGAGGGTCCTAGTGAGAGGTTGAGATCAGTGAAGTTCAACCGTCATATGTGAGGCAATTACCCACGGATAACATTAAAGTTGATTGTATAATATAGCGAATAGATTAAATTTATTTATACAATCCATTGAATCTCGATTCAATCTGAAGGTTAAACCTATAGGTTCAACAATCTTCAGTGGGTTCGTGAATAAGAGCTGCTGATTTTCACTAAATAGCTAACTAGGATCAGTCCGTGATGTAAACTATACAATTCTGATATTTATCTCTTATTTCTTCACAATGCTCTAAAGTTGTTTTACACTGGCATATTCTTTTGTATCTAAACTTCTTTGTTCATAAAAACAGTTATTGTTGAAAGTAACTCTATTATTTACAAGGGGAATATTAACAATCTACGGCTTAACTAAATGTTATTGAACTAGAATAAAAGAGGTCTTATTACATACGCTAACTAAATAAATGTCTTTCAAAATAACATTTATAGATCTTTAAACATCTTTGTATACGATTTGTTGTAATTTTCTACGATATTTACTCCATAAAATTGGAGATTTTTAGCTCAGGTGGATGATTTTGATGGAGTTTTGTTCTCTGAGCTGGATGGTTTAGTCGTGTAGCTTTCATTGTTATTCTGAACGACATCGTCAGCACAAACTTCAGGTAGAAGTGAAGTGTTCGAACTTCTCCACATATGGCTCACAGCTTGTCCTGTAGATCTCGATGTTGATTGGCCATTGTTGACCTTTAAACTGTCATTGTTTACGTTATTTTGGTTGTATCTCCTATAGGACCGAAAATCAAATCAATAGGAGATATAACCAAAATAAAGAGGTAAACAATGACAGGTTAAAGGTCAACAATGACCAATCAACATCGAGATCTACAGGACAAGCTGTGAGCCATATGTGGAGAAGTTCGAACACTTCACTTCTACCTGAAGTTTGTGCTGACGATGTCATTCAGAATAACAATGAAAGCTACACGACTAAACCATCCAGCTCAGAGAACAAAACTACATAGAAATCCCAAAATTCTGTATGTACACTTGTACAACGTAACTAGCTTCTCATAAATTAATTCTTTATGTGATAAAAGTCTATGCGAAGATAATTCTTTAATAATAATAAATCATTTCATTTCAGATAATTCAGTCAGTATGCATACGTTGAATCGAACTACAGTTGAACAGATTTCTAAAAATATTGATAATGATGATAATGTTATATATTTCGATGATACTAATACAAATGTTGGTCATTACAAACATATTGATTATTGTTCATCTCAAATGAATTCACCACAATATCAACAACAATATCGTTGTGGTAGTACTAGTCCAAATGTTTGTTACACTGATATATCATTTCAAAGTCCTGATTTATCACCAATCTTACCTATACATCGTAAGAATAGTTGTACAAATTGTCCACCATTTACTGATGAAGTTAAAGATATTTCTCTTGTTCAAACTAGCATGCACATAAATGGGGCTAGTAATAATCATGGAATTATGCCAGCGAAATGTTTATTCCCGCCTAATTTGAATGGATCAACTTGACAACAGTAATATTACTACTGTTGTTGTAATGATAAATTGTTGTAATAGTATTGCAATAAAATATGTAGTAGTCATAATGATAATTTTGTCACGTGAAAAATGTGGTTACACGATTACTCTCTCTCTCTGTGTGTGTGTGTTCCCCCGCCTCCTACCGACTTACAATGAATCGTTTTAATTGTACTAACATTGCGTTTCTTTTCTCCCAGCTCTGTGACCAGATGATTACTTTTTATCTCACGTAATACCTTTTTTCTTGATTAATGTATAACTGAATGCGTTATTAACAATCAATATTCTTGTCCAAAGTTACTTTTTCTTTAAAGACAAGGCTTTACTACTATTTGTAAGTGACTTCTCTTTTTTCGTAAAAATAAAACATCATTCTGTGGTATTTGCAATACTTAACTAGTATTGTTTACTAGTAATTTGTCCATCTTATTTTCTCATTTTAAGCCAAAAAATATTAATGTTATTAGAATTATACGTTAGTGTATTCTGTTTTCTGCATAGTCAGTTAGTAACAACGTAGAACTTCGTACTTACATACATCAGTTCTAGTAGCCATACAACATTAGAACAAAGATGCAGTTGTCGATCCAAATCCCGTATTGGTAGAGTTAGTAAGAGTATAAGCAGTAATCGAGAACATTAGGGTTTGAAGATGTTATTCAAGGAGTATAATCCAGTGAAATAAATTTAGAAAGAGAAAAAAAGGGACGTGAAGAATTTGGGAGAACACAGAGTGGGTGCACCTGCACCATTGCAAACGATTTTGAGCCATGTCATTCAGGGTCTCTAACCATCGGTTGCTATCGTCTCGCAGATCCCAACCAGGTAGTCTACACCTACCGCTTGTCAGTGAATTCATGAATTCGTTCCATGTTTTGGTTTGGCCGCCCTTAGCTTTTTCCCATCCTACTCCTACATCATAAAATATTGCACGTCGGGGTAGTCGATGATTGGGCATACGTAACACGTGTCCCAGCCATCTCAACTGGTCAAGTTTCACTACTTCATCAATTGATTTGCCATCCTTACCTAGTACTCGTATCCTAACAACTGCGTTACTTACTCGATGGTCCTAGGATATACGAGCAATGCTTTGAAGACACCTATGGTCAAATACTAGTAATATACGAATATCCTCTACTCTTACCGGCCATGTTTCACTGCCATAATGTAGGATCGAACGAACTGCCGCACAGTAAATATGTCTTTTGGTTAATAGACGGATATCTCGCCTACGCCATAAATGACGCAAGTTGGCAAAAGGTAGTCGAGCCCCCTGTATCCGTGCTGAGATCTCGTCACACATAAAAGACTTAATAAGTCAATCTAAAGCTATGTACAATATGCATTGGTTCAAGTTGTTTCAGCGTATATATATAGCGAAATGAAGACAAATGTCAGAGTAGTAGAAGTAGTAACATTATCAGTTATAGTACAAAAGATTAGGCGAAGGAAAATGTTATTCGAGAAGAAGAAATAATTTCGCACAATGTAATGTAAAAGATGATTTTTAAGTTTACAATCTAAAGAGGGACAAAAAACTGAATACATCTGCACGATTGAACGAGATTTGACATCCGGTCACTCAGTGTTTACGATAGCAACGTGAACTCGAAGCAAGAAGTCAGGACTTTGTCAACATGATTCATTCTAATAGTTAATGATTTCATGAATTGATGCTAACTCTTGAATGATTCGACCCTAACTTTCTTTCTGTTACAGCTAAGCTTTGTAGTGGTGATGATAATCTTTTATCATAAAAATGTGAATTTGTGTGACTCTGTTCAACTTACGGATTTCTCATGTTTATCTCCAATTATAATTAACGTCGTCTGACACATGTGTGCATTAGTCCAGGTTCCCATACCACAAAGTTATAGGATGTTGGATGATGAAGTGATCAAATTAATTATCGTAGCAATGATAGTAAGAAAGACTAGCCATACTGAAGAAATTAGAAAGTTATGCGTGAAAGAATGCTAATACCTTATATCCATGTATGATGTTTACTAATAATTGTGGAATAGAGCTTGGGCTATATTTGGAGATGCCTGGCTTCCTAAAACACCACAGAAGTCAGACAAAAGCTAAATCATAGATCATCTAGTGAAGTCTGGTTATTCCTCTTCACCAGAAGCTTCCTTCCGAATCCTATATAATGGGAAAAGCCGGTTCAAGAGGAATCCATATGAAAAACGTATGTACGGCAGCGGCTATTGCTTTCCGCTACTTCAAGCCTAACTGTTGCGTACAATAACTAGTATGTTCAGTTCTTCATTCTTCTTTTCTACTTTTCATAAGTTATCTTTCTTTACTTTCTAATCACTCTTCTCAAGAATTAATTAGTCATTATTACGACTTCTAATTACTCTCTTATAATAACTGTCGAGTGGGCAATTATCACTTTAGTGCTTTTCACTAATCGGTTATTACCTAACTTCTCAATATCTGATTTTCGCAAGTAATTTATGTGACACTATACCAGTTCAAATTTTCTCATTATTCAACACCATTCTGTTTTACTGTAGGCTATAATTTGAGCAGATAAAAAAATTATGAATACAATTGTACAGCCTAAGTGAATCAAATCATCGAAAGGACAATTTTCTTTGCTAATCTGTCATTGATCCTAATTCTAGAATTTGATGGAAATGTATTATACTACTTATGAGTAGTTGAAGTTCATAATAATTCATTTTAATAATAATAACATTGTGACCATTTCAAAACAAAAAATATACATTTGTATTTAATGCTCAGTTCGCATGTCATCTAAATATTTTCCAAAAGATTATATCCAGGAAATATATGGATCGAATTATGCTTATTCATAAATGTATTACCCTGAATGATTTATTTCATCTACTATACAGATTAAAACATTTGAATACATGAGATAATTAGGAAAGATGGACGGTAAAACAAGGTTTATCATCACAATTGATTGATCACTGGGTGGTGATCAATGTCATGCGTGTCTAGTCCTTATTAGTGCAGATCGAATGCTATCGACCATGTTGCAATGTGGCCACCAGCCTATGTGACTCGACATTGCATGCACTATTGTGAGATTAGATGGTGGTTGGAGGTAGTCGACAGGTAACCCTGGACCCGGGTTTCGTGCTACTTGGCACTCGTCAGCAAGGTGTGTCTGTAATCTTGAGGGAACTGGTGCTCCCTGATGGATTCGATCTCGTGTCACTCAGCTTCACAGTCAGAGACGTTGCCACTGAGCAATCCGAGCCACGACCAACCTCCTATAGGACTGAGATGTAATCATCGCCTGTTTGTGTATTATAAACGGTTATGGTTAAATATTCTCCGTATACAGAAAAGCAATACCTCTGGGTCTAGTTCATTGGAACCATATGTTAATTGTAACAGAGTAATAAAAAATATTATTTATACAGTCATAAATTTTAAACAAAATAATCAAATCTATTTGGTGAATAAGTGATCGTACATACATATGGTTATGGAAAACAAGTTTCTGATGTTACAAATCAATATCACAATTGTAAAGATAGAAAACTCTTTAGTTTATGTAGCAAATGAATAATGAATAGTATTATATTAGAGTTAAAACGAATCCTCAATGATTTATTGCTATAGTCTATTTAATAAATGAGAATACAGATGATCTAATGTGTGTCCATTATCATTTACAGATAAATAAAACTTTATACTGATAATGGTTATGTGGTCACTCGTGACTACCTTTGTTATAATTCTCTCTTATTACAACCTAGCTATTTCTATTGCTTAGTATTCTTGGGCACCAATTCACTCGACAAAGTCCCCAAATCAGAACACGGTTGAACAGGAAATGGATTATATTCCAAATAACAAAGTTAGATGGAAGTAAGAAGCACAATAGGAAAAACTTTAGTATATTTATAGTTTTTACGTCAGGCGATTCTAGAATGTCCTCCAAGTATCGACTAGCGCTAATTGGATATGCATTAGCCAATCAACGTGTACCAACGCAATCGTGCATTGAGCATGCATGTCCCGCTAACAACCTTCAAGATGTAATTCCTGATGTTCTAATGAGAAGAGCTGATCACTTAGATTTAACAGTGTTATCTGGGAGATCGTTTTACGCCACATGTAATGAATAAGTGTTGCATAATATTGTGAATTGATTGAAGTTAGACATGTACACAACTGAATCCAGACTCGGTAGTCCAGAGATTAGACGTTTACGCATGAGATCAAAGTTACTGAATTGGAGCCTCAATTCTGGGTCATAAATGAACATTGTTAAGTAGTCTCAAACTAGGATGAAACAGCTATCGAATGCTTTCAGATTTTTGATAGTTGTTCAACTTGTATCGATTCATGATCTCAACAATCTCCATACTAATACTGATTATTTATTTGCTCTTTGATAAAAGGATAAATTCTTTGAAAGCGCAAAATTGTCGACTGAAACCAATAAATGTTAAACCACATATGTTCAACAACATAAATGGGTTTACATGTTTATGTTTGTCTAAATGTACAGTAATTGATTTGACTGGGTGGGCTAATCTTCAATGTTCAAAACAAAATTCACCTATTGGAAAGAGGTAGATTTTCTGTTTAAATCATTTGACATTAAATATCCATGCTCTTGAAGCATACAATTTGTGATTTTTTTCGTGTTTTTCACATCTGTACTTCATCTTACATGCATCATACTTGATTTTCATATTTATATATCATAAAAAGGTTTTGATGAAGTTTTGTTCTCTGAGCTAGATGGTTTGGTCGTGGAGCTTTCATCGTTCTTCTGAACGACATCATAAGCACAAACTTCAGATAGAAGTGAAGTGTTCGAATTTCTCCATATGTGTTTCACAGCTTGTTCTGTGCACATCGATGTTGATTGGTTCTTATTGACCTTAAATTTACCATTGTTTACTTCTTTATATATATATATATATATTATAACAATAAAAAGGGGGATTTTCATATACTTTACTTTATACCTTCAACATCCACAT